GGGTCCATGTTCATCAATCAAGGGAATAGTGATTAATGATATGCTAAGAATATATAACAAGCAAGCCCCGATTATGTGATTGTCAATTTTGCTTAATCAATGAGGCGAAGAACATGGATCCTGGAAGAACCCAGTAAGGACTCCCTGCTAGGGTGGGCAGGGACCGCAGTACCGTTAGCGGGAATTTCTTGTAGAGCGTATAGAGGAGCTAATTTTAATTGTGATTAATTAGCACAAATCCAGCAATATTTACAAAGAATTTATTTACAGTATCATGATTGAACAGCATCAGTATATTCTAAAATTACATCGCTTCCACTCTTTAGGTCTTCTGTATGGGTTAGCTGGTCTAAGGTTTGATCTACTGGCAGTACTCGTCCTGTTTGCAACTGCAATAGGCATAATTTCTGGAAATTATAATTTTGGAAAATATAAAAAATTCTAGAACTCATTAGCAATTCATGAGCTATTAGTCCAATGAACATCGAACTATTGATGATGAGCCTTTCAACCCGAGATGGGGATAGCTCTACCAATACGTACTTTTTACAAAGGGTGTCTGTTTATAGGAGATTCAACTGTAAATTCAACGAGCAATTGATTGAGATTTAAATTGTGATCTTGCTAGTCCTTTTCCTCCCAAGTAACCAAACATCGCAGCAACTTTTCTCTCTCTCWCTCTGACAACCTGAGCTCATATGATCAAACCATCACTTTGACAACTGTTATGTACACTGTACCTTTTTGGATGGAATATTATTTTGATTYGTTAAACCAACCACCTGACAGATCTTGTCAATCACTTTGCCTGCAGTCCATTGCTGCAGAAAAAAAGACAACCATCAATATCAATGATTTCATGGACTTAATTGTCCTAAATGCATGTTTCATCCCTCTTAGTTTCCCCAAAATTCAGTCAAACCATCCCACAGCAAAGTATGTTTCATTGTTTATTGTCAGTACTTCAATGTCACATTGGATTTTTATGACAGTAGTTTTTGTTCCTAAAAGTTTTTGTGCTTCATTTGATTGAGGAGAGCAATGGGTTTAGCTYAGTTTGACATCACATGCACTTTAATATGCAGTGTTAAGCATACCTTTGAAAAATACATAGCCTTGTCCTTCTGTCCTTCAGGAAGTTGAATATTAAGGTATATTCTTTCAATCTAAAAACATAAAATATATTAAGTACGGTACATAGTACATCAATGTCTACAAACTACAAATAAAACATAATTAGCACCTCTAGTGATCCACTATTAAATTTAAATTATCTTTTTTTTTGTTGCATTGACACCTGAGGTATAGATTTATCTCCAAYAGCATTCATTTTCATCTTCATCAGTGCCACTTTAAGTTGTCTTGCTTCATTTTTGACTCCAGTTCGACCTTTTTTCTCTGAGCTTAGTTCCCTCCCTGAAATATTGCACAGTATTTTGTGTGTGGGTATTTTATGATTTTTGCTCTTACAGTTACATTTAATTGCAGCTTGCACTTGTAAACTTACTGACAATGAATGATAAGACTGAAA